TGGCATTGAAAAACTGACTTGAGTTACAGAAGAAGCCCCATAACTTTGATGGTACTGTCATGTTGTTCATTTCCTTGGTCTTAGAGCAAACGTCAATGTGTCTTGATGAAAGAGTCCGGTTACCCAGCATGCAGACACTAAGTAAAAACAAACAGGGAGAAAGATGAAGCAAAGGAAAAAGATTTTAAAAAAGAAAATGGGTTAGAAATAGGTTAGTAAATAATAGGGCTAGTAAAGAACAAAAAATCTCATCTCTGAGAGCATCTACTGTCATGGAAAGAAACTATTATTTATTGACTAGCCTTGCCAATTTAATCCTTACAGTGACCTCACATAATATGTATTAGTATTTTGATTCTGTGGATGAAGGAACTGAAGTTTGGGGAGATAAGGTAGTCTGCCTGAGGTCATACAGGTGCTGGTGATAGTGATCGAATTTAAACAGAACTGTCTGAAGACACTGTGCTGACTCATCTTCCAAAATGTCCAGGTTATTAACCAATTGTTAGGTCTAAAAGAATCCTAGAATCTTTTTGTTCTTACCAAAAAAACTTCCACTAATTTTATTTTTGGTCTAGGAAAGCCTTATGTCACAACAAACCCCTTGAAAATGTTATGCTAAAAGTCAAACCTTCTGGCTACTGTTTGGAGGAAGACAGCTTGGCTAAAATTAAAAAGCACATCCATCTGTGGCCTAAGAGAAAATTGTTTTTGAACTTAAGCCTAGACACAGTGGGAGTGAGGATATTTAAGGATAATACAAACAGTCACTGCTGATTTTATTTTTTTCTTAAACTCAGAGATACAAATACGAAAAAAGGAATAATAAACCCACAGTTAAAATATCTCTCAGAAGAAACAAAGCAACATTTAAAATCTGCAAAATGACAGCATAAATACTTAATGTACCCTGCAGCCATTACTCGGCTTCAACAACTCTCAACATTTCCCAGTCTTGTTTCATGCATTGCTCTAGGTTTTTGTTTTGTTTTACAGGTATATTTTTGTTTTGTTTTGCTGAATACCTGCTGGTGGCGCTTGAGGTTGCAGCGTTTACTCCGAGATAACTAGCAGATTACAGTCCTAACCTTGACCCACAAATCTGCCAAGAAATAGCTCGTTTTTCGTTATTATTTTCACATCGCTCTAGCGTATCGACAGTCTTTGGAAACAAATGACATCATTCTATTGATAGCATTGTTTTTAGTAGTGATATTTCTATTTACAAAATAGAGTAACGTTTGATTGCTGAAAATGTCAAATCCTAGAAAACATAGCATTTCTATGTGTGATGTTAAATTAACTAATGCTGGCAGTGGGCTACACCTTTTTTTCCTAAATAGGAAAAGGGTTAAAAAAATACCATACATCATGACCTTTCATCCATAAAAAAAAATAAAAAATAAAAAGTTTTGAAAGAGAACTAGAGACGAAATGGAATTTCTCAAATTAAGATATGGCCAGAAGCAGCCATTAGTACTTGAATGACTCTAAAATGGATCTTTGGCCAGTCTGCAATCCCTAGGTGAGCGGACTGAAACTTCATGATGGAATCTATTGCTGATATCATTTAGCATAGTAGAAGAAATACTGGACTGGGAGTCAGAAAATCACAGAGTTCATGTTCTTGCTATGCCATTAATTAACTTTGGGACAAATCATTTAATTTAATCTCTATGAGCCTAATTTTCCATCTTGAAAAATCAACATAGGACTGATGAGTTTGTTCCCTGGATGATCCAGATGACTTTTCAAAGATTACAAACAACACTCTGCTGGTTAGTCCTTATGCCAGTAGTCAAATGAAAAACAGGTGAGTCTATGAGTCACATCTGTACAAATCCATTATTTCAAAAAATATACTTTAAGGCACCTGCATTACTTATGGTATACAATATAATCTATACACAGATATATAAATGCAAATAAGGTGACATTTATTTCCCTGTATTTTATAGGACTAGGAAGTCCACTGTGGTGCTAACAACTAAAAATTTAATGGATTACAAGTATTTAGGTAGGAGTTTAGATTTCCTTTGACTCTCTTGATTTTTCATTAACACAAACAATTCAACATTTTAATACTTTATAAAGGTTGTTGACAAAAACTATGCTGTTTGCAAAGCCCTTCATGAATTGTTTGAATATGCACAATCATTATCAGACAATTTTGAAAAACCCTAATACCTACATCCAAATGATGGTTACAGCTTCCATTTCTATATTTGGGACATGAGGAAAAGGATCAACATGACATAATTTGCTGGGAGGCTTCCTGTCTAGATGCAAACTAGGCTTAACCAAAAGGGAAATCTCAGAGACACTGTGAAATTCTGACTTGAAATGGTCACATCATCAGATACTGTCAATGACTACTGAATAATAATGGTTAGTCAGAGAGATAGACACATACGGGAAGTGTGGAGGGGCAAAAGACGACTTGATGGCTCCAGCATAGATGGCCAAGATGGACACAATGACACAGGCCAGAAAAAGTGAGGCAAACTTGTTCACATAGCGTACGCCGATGAATACCACCAAAACCATGAGGACCAGGAAGGCTGTGCCATAGACACGCATGTTATTTAGCATGGCTGCTGATTCCTTGAGTGCATCATCACTACGAAAGATGGCAGCCCGGGGGACAATATATATCTGTAAAGCAAAAGAAGTAGAAAATTAGGTAATTTCAAAGTAATCAAGTAAAAGGATGTTGTAGTTTGCATTTGCTTTCACAATGGAAAGCAAAGATGAGACAGAAAATGGCTATAAACTTAGCCTAACTCCTATTTGGATCTAGAATGCCTATGGAAATGGGATTGATTTTTTTAAGTCTACATGGTGCTTTGAATATCTATATTTCCTTATTTTGGAAAAAAGAAGGAATGAATTAATTGCTTATTCAAAGGGTTTTATAAAATAACCAACAATTTTCTTGAGTCCTATTTCTGCTATCATTAAATAGTAAAAAATATATCCCAGTAAATAAAAAAATGAAAAACATTTTATTTCATTAAAATAAATATATCAAAAAAGACAAACTTTATTTCACTTTTCCCCAATTAGCACAAGTCTTCCTTGGAGACCTTAACTACTTGGTTGAGGTGGTAGAGAAGAGATGATTGGGTGGAGGGGAAGGAGTAGGCAGGGAAAGGACACTCTCATCTTTCTGCCTTATATTCACACTAGGAGGCCAACATATGTTTACAAAGTGTGATAGAGGCACAATAAGGTGAAGCATAATAAAACAAGGTAAGCCTTTAACAGGTTAGCTGATTGCAGTCAATCACTTGATTCCTATAGCTGATCTCTCAGAAGCTTTGATATCATAGAACAAAATAAATTCAAATTCATGTATTTTTTATACTTTAGAACACAATTAAGTCATTACTCACCAGAAAAATTTCAATGGCACCAAGGATATACATGGCTGCTGCAAATGTGGTACCAAGATAAAAGCAGAGGCCAACAGCCCCACCAAACTCTGGGCCCAGTGCCCTGGAAATCATGAAGTATGAGCCCCCAGCTAAAAGACAAAGTAGAAGATGATTAGGATAAAGAAAGTATATTAGTAAGAAAAATGTAAACAAGTCATAAGAATAAAAATATACATTATGGTTAAATTTTTCAGGTTTTTGAATGTGATAAAAAGTAGATTTGCTAGTGGGAAGTAAAAGATAAAACCTTTATAGCAGGATATACTGCACAACTAATGTTCCACGAAGCAGCACAATTTGTCAGTATTAAAAAAATAACAGAGAATATTTACTGCAGACATAAAAGAGCCCAATAAAATATATTCTAACTATAAAAGAAGCTAAAAATGCAACAGAAATTAAAGATTCTGAAACAGAAAGATTTTTTTTTTAAAGGTATCCTAAAATCAAATAGTATTAGTGTCTATGGCCAATAGACTAAATAGTATTCTATTCCTTGGAAGTCTGCACCTCTGGCTTTACAGCATAAACATACAGAAATTATTGACAATCCTGGGAGTCCGAATTTAGCCTACTAACCTGGCACCACTCCATTAGTTGCAATGGCACTCATGGAGATAGCAGTCAACATTGTCTGTAAAGAAAGGGAAGGAAGAAGATTGTTACTATATAAAGAGGACATTTCTGTACTACTATCCCCTCTTTGGACTTCCGAGCACTTATCAAACATTTACCTCTATCTACTTTTATGGAGGGCGTTGCCTGTCATACCTAATTGGTATGAAAATGAGATGATGTGGTTCAACTCAATATACTAGTCAGACTACTATTATCTGGAGTATTCTGTGAAAATGCCCCTACATCATAATCAGTAGGTTAGGTGCTATTAAGGACCACTGATCTCTCCCTGGGTCTTCTACTTAAAATAATTTGAAAAACAGGTTAAAAACTGATTAAAGACTGGCTATAATAACAAGAACAATATTCAGTAAGGAAGGGAACCATGAAAGACCTCTGAGCTCATAAACACTGTATTTTAAAAACATTACCTGGTAGCAGAATATAGAATGGGCTGTACAGAGGGAGTAGGTGGAGGCAGAGTGACTTGTTAGTAGGCTATTATAGTAGTTCAGTGAGAAGTAAGGACTGCAGTGGTAGTAGTGGCAATACAAAGAAAAGGTTAAATGTAAGAGATTTCAGAAGGAGACATGATTGACCTTGGTAGCTGATCGTACGTGAGAAGCAATCAGGGAGCCAAACAAGGGCCTGAAGTTTCAAAACTAAGAAACTGAAAAAAAAAATCATGGTACCATTAATTTTAAGCTGTTCATGACTGGACTATGACTGCTTACCCAGCTTTGTATAGTACTGAGCTGAGCATAATGAACATGGAGGGTATAATGGTGACAGTAAAAAAAAGTTCAGTTGATAGTTGAATAATAAAATAGTAACTAAAAAACTAATCTTTCAACTTATAATAAAATTGATAGATGTGGTTGGAAAACATGGATAAAAAGAATTTAAACTAAAGGAAGAACAAAATGTTTTCAGTATGGTGGAGAGAAGACCTGGAAAAAACATCTGAATTTCTGGGGAAGAGATAATGGATGAGACTTCAAAATAAAACACATACTCTTCACCTCCAAACAATAATCAGTTTCGTTTCTCAACACTATGCTGGTGTACTATATCCCATTTTCTAACATTTTCTGTTAACAACTTTGGTGCTACAAGGCTCAAATAGTTTGTATTCTGAATCCTTGGTAGGCTATATCTTCTACTTCCTGGAGAAATCTTCCATTATAATTTCTAGTACACTGCATTATAGATAATAAGCAGTGAATAAATGACACTAAATAATTGAAAATCTTTTCAATTTTAATATCAAAATAATCTCATATTGAAATGAGTCTTTCCTTAGTATTCTTTGTTTTATTCCCAAAGAGGTCAACTGCATAAACTCTTGAGTGCTCGCAAGGTTCTAGGTGATCTCCAGGAGCTGCCTCAGGACTTACACAGCAGCAGCAGATAAGAACAATTGCAAAGGCTTGAAGAACTCCAGCTGTGCCCACTACCCAGGTAAGGCGTAGAAATAGTATCACTCCAAAAATATTCTGTAGACACGGGAGGTAGACGCCCATGAAGGTACCCATCTGGGGTGTCTGGAAATAAAGATGTTGACAAAAAAAAAAAAAATTATATAGTTATCTAAAAGAGATGTCTTTATCCCTTTACTTTCATATGAAAACTCACTGCCAACTACCATATTAATCTCAAAGCAGAGATAATAAGTTTAAGCAATATCTTTAAAAAGGCACATATAAAATCTCTATCTTATAAATGTCTATCATCATATCTTTTATTATTCCTAGAGCTATACATTTTTGTTTCATAGGTCCCCACATGTTTTCACATAGGCATTTGACCACAAATAAACTTAAGTGTACCTCAACAACTTAAAATTTTCTGTTGTTCAAAGCTGTTAGCTTTCTCTTCTCATCTAAAAATGAAATAATGGCTTGATCTTCAGAATTTTGTATAAATTTTCTATAGTCGTTGGTAAAATAAAGATCAGAGGGTCACTTTTTTAACCCCAGAAAATCCAGAAAGCTAACTTGTAATATTGTTTCATATTTTCATTTTGAGAAAAGACTTGGTATTCGGTCTTTCAAAAACTCAACAACTTCACAACAAAGAGAGAGCATCCGGAGATGAGTATGAACACTCTTCTTTTGAAATGCTCTTCTCTCTCGGTAGAATGCTCTTCTCCTGGCTATAACTCCCTTATATTAGTTAGGTCTCTGCTCAAATATTACCCTATCAGAAGGGCTTCCCCTGACCAATCTCTCTAAAAGAGCAACATCCTCTGCCCTGACCGTACGTTCTGTTTGTGCTATGACCCCAGTGCCCAGAACAGTGTTTGGTATACATCAAGCATTCAGTAGTTACTGAGCTTAGAGTGATGCCCTGGCTATTTCCTCCTTTCTTATATATAGGACTCTTCTTATTTACCCATGTTTTCTAATGTCTCACCTTGGTGGGCTTCTTTTTCCCTTCAGTGATATTCTCTGCTTCTTCATGTTCCTTTGCTCCTTGGGTCAGATTAGTGTAATTGGCCATGCGGTTGAGGAGAGAAGACACCTTTGGTCTGGTGTCCATTTCTTCCTATAAAACCAGAAGTATGGAAGAAATGAGTAATAAAGAAAACATTAAAAATAAGCATCAAAATGACCACCCTACCAGAAAATTGCAAAGTAAATGAGAAAATATTTCACAGGTAAATATTTTAAGAAAATTTATCAATGAGACTTTATCCCCTCTATTAAAATATTACACTTAATCAGGGCTACATAAATCCTTATAAATTCTTAAATGAAAAGTTTTATGATTCTAATAGCTTAACTTTAAAGACAAGATCATACTGGCCCCTACAGACAGCTGTAATGTTATAAACAGCATTGATAATAGGATCTTTAACCACAGCACTCCCTTTCTTTAGGCTATTAACATTCTACTAACACTTATGGCTATTACTTATAGCATTAAGAATGGACAGGTCAATGAAAAACTTTTGTGACTGAACTAAATATTCACTTCACACCTTTTCTTGAAGGAAACTGAGAGACAATATCACATCGTTTAAAAAACAGGCACACTGAAAGAAGTGGCACTCACATGATTGTCCAAAGCCAAACAAAGGCAGTGCTGGGTCCTCTCAACAACTGGGCTGTCTTAGATAAGACACATAAGTCCTCTGAATCTAGTAGTCTGCTTCCTACATTGATTTTTGGTTAGCAGTTTAAAGGTAAATTACAGTCTGCCCAAACATACAGTTGAAAAATATACTACTTTATACTTAGAAGATAATTCCAAAGTAAACATTTAAATCCGAGCTGAATTAGATAGCAAGGTTCTCTATATGCCTGCAATGTCAACATTCTCTTCTTTATTTCATATAAATTTAATCAGTACTCATTAATTAGTATTAAATTATATAGACTGGAAAGTTATAAGTATTGTATTTTAACAATTAGTTATTAAATTATCCAGCCTGTAGTTTTAAACTCAATGGAAGAGAAAACAGCTATCTTAAAATCTCTGTTCCTAAAATCTGTCCTAGTTTTCTCCCAAATATTACCTCAAAGAGTGCCAAGTTTTTATCAAAATATTCATCTCCTTCTTCATAATTGGAATTATTGAGATAAGCATTTCGAGCTTTCTTATGCCCATCATCTGGGGAAAAAAGTAAACCAAGTTAGTTTCTCTTTGGTATTGAAGATACACCAGCACCAAATAACTGTCTGTTTTCTCTGTATTAACAGAACTCATTTTCATATACAAATTTTAATCTGAGAGTGGAAGAACTCAATCAGTATTGCTTGGAGAACGTGGCTCCCTCTCCAACAAGAGTAAAACAACAAATCTCTAAGAAGTAAACATAGATTATTCCTTTCAACAATGTGAAAACTTCTGGAAACACTATTCTTTTAGGATACTAGCCTAGTAGGGTCTTTTGAAGTCACCCAAATCTAGGATGAAAAAAAAATAGAATACTTACTGAGTACCTACTCAATACTGTGCTAGACATGGGCTACTTTCCATACTGTTGCTGTTAATAATGGCAGTAAAAGCTCTCTGCCTCCAGGGCTGTCTGGCCTTTTGTAAATGACATTAGGTTATTTAACCAAGTACTATTTTTGTACAAACACTTGCCACATATTTTTTATGTTAAAAGAGGCACCCCACAAGAATATGGTGGACCGGCTATGAAGAAAAAAAGAAAAAGAGCCTGGACTCCATAAGACAGTAGTGTTTGTGTTGTTTGAGCACTTCCTTAACTTTGGTTCTTTATTGTGCAAGTTATACAATTACAATTGTCTGGTACAAGAGAAACAAAAAAATAAAAAATAAAAAATATGTAAACATCATTTAGAACTAAGATTTTAAATACCAAGGAAATAGATACCAGTATAAAAATTAAAGAAATTAATTTAAAGTTCTATAACCTCAAATTTATGTAAGATGAGCTCTGGAAATAGGCAACAAGCTATTAAAATAACTGGGTCATGCCAAGGACTGAAAAGCCAAATTGAAGGGGTTCCTACTGGCTAAAAATGGAATAATATGACACTAAAAATAAATAATGTAATGAACTGAAATGCAAATATGTGAAATATCCAAAATGATATTTCTAAAATCTAGTCACTTTTGCAATTGCTTTAAAAAAAAGAAATTCTTAACTCTGAAATATAATAAAGGGAAAGAATCAAGCAATTATCCTGCCTTTCCTATACCAACTGTATTTCAGGGTAACTAAATAAAATTTCTTCATTATAAAATAAATTCACCAATTTTCAACCACTAATGAAATAACAGATCTAGGCAAACACCATCAATGGCCGCTAAAACCATTAGGTGAAAGGCTCAAGCAGAACTTTATAATAGATGGGTCAGGGTGATCTGGAATCCACTGATCAAATCTTAACATCATTAAAAGCAGGACAACACAATCTCCTAATGCAATACAATGAAAAGGACACTGTGCAACCTATGATGTATCCTTACTCTAA